AAGCTTCTGGAAATTGCATATTGTGAGGCATCACCGTTTACAAGCTTTGCATAATGACACAGCTCGCACTTAATCTTCAAGGATGCCTAGATACCTTCACAGGGTGGCCAGTAAATTTTCATTTTAAAATTCCCGGTTTTCCCGGTTCAAATCTCAGAATATTCTCGGTTTTTTTTTTATATTTAGTAAAAAATAATGATTGCAATATCACGTTTTTTTTTTAGGCAGGGTTTTTGATCTAATTTCCGTCCTACTAAGCACAACCCGCGCTTTACCTCTCTTTTCTGAACGAGTTTAAACAAAAAATGGAACATTTCTGTCAAAGATGACTTGAAAATTTATTCACCTTTCCATACGTACCGTTGGATTTGATAAAGAGTCACAAATTGATGAGATATTGTCTAAAATGTAACACTGCTTCTTGATTCTAAATTCGTTCTGCGAGTTTCAATTCCGTCCTAACGCATTGAAACGCCATTAGATTTTCTTCGTCCTACGGATAAACGTAGAAAAAGGGGATTCGCTAGGAGCGCTTCTTTTGTTTTGAGAACAATGAGCGTAAATATTCATAAAATGCGCTCTAACAGGGTTTATGTTGTAGCTAATGAATTAGCGCATCGGAACAAACCTATTATTGATTTGTGCACGGTGAAATCATTGATATTATTGATCTTTTCTGATCGATAGAACGGAAATGGGCGATTACGACGAAGTAGCGCTCTACCCTACTAAGCATCAATTTGAATAACTTTCTTTTTAGACTCGAGTCGTCTTGATTGTGGAGCGGCAGAATTAACAAAGTACAAGAATTATGCATTTTTTTAGGTCGCATAGCCGAACGCTATCGGGATGAATGGGTCATTATACCAAATTTTAGAGAAAGATAAAATTGAGAGATTGTTTTAAAAATCTTGAACTTGATACGACACAAGACATTTTTTTAAAGTATCGTGATCGGTACGAATATAAATCTTAAATGTAATCTTAAGAACAATTTCAATTTCTAAGATTCTGAGGCTTTGACATGTGTATAGAGTCCAAAAATATGCCTTTTTTAAATTTGTGACTTATGAAAATCTATCCTAGATTTGGAAGCAAAACAGGATTGGATTGGAAAATTCCTAGTTGATTCTGAAAAGAATTGTATGTGGATTGTTAGGAGAATTTTAAGGAGAATTTAAAGAGTTTTCTGATAATAATTCCAAATGAATACCGAGGAAGATTCACAAGAGAACTTTAAGCAAGATCCGAGAAAAATGCCGAAGGAATCGTGTTCTGAGGAAAATAAAGAAAAATGCTGAAGAATTTAAATTACATTCTTCAAGAAAATTCAGCTCAGAGAATTCCAAAGAATTTCTGAGAAGAGTTTTGTAAAAGGTCAAATAATTACAAAGGTTTTTTAGCTGAATAAACATATTATGTTTGCTTGATTAAGCTCAAGCTGTTATTCAACTTTCTATTTCTGTTGCAATATGTTAAGGTTTATTGATTGTTCCCGGTTCTCCCGTCAAATTCCCGGCTTTTTCCCGGTTTTCCCGCCTTCTTTTCAAATTCCCGGTTATTTCCCGGTTTTCACGGTTTTCCCGGTTCGCTGGCCACCCTGCCTTCAGAGAAGTATTTAGATGTTTAGGAAGTTTCATTGGGCTTAAAGAAGTTCCCGGTATTTCGCGGATGATCAGAGATCTTCGTAAAAAATTTATTAACTTAAAGAAAATTGCAGGAACTTCCAAAGAGTTTCTTCAACTTCAGGAACAATGCGGGATCTTCAGGGAATTTTATGAATATGATGAACTTTTCTGGGAAGCTTGAAAATCTCAAAGAAGTGCAAAGATGTTCAGTTAGAATGTGAGATTTTTTTAGATGTTTCGTGAGCTTCAATAAAGATTTCAAAACTTCTGGAAAATTGTGGGAACCTCAATGAAGATCAAGGAACTTCAAGGCAATTCAGTTAACTTCAGTAAAAATACTTCGAAACTTAAGGGAACCTCAGAGACCATTCGAGCAGTTCCAATTAGGGGTTTCATCCGGTAGTTTCACTACTGTTCGTTTTTTTATCTTATAATCAAATCTCTAAAGCTTTTAACATCCTTATGCGGCTTGAAGTGAGTGAGAGTGAGCTTTGTCAATTGGATCTGCTTTGCTTCGAATTCAGGAGTTCATTAAAGTAAGCAATAGGGTCGTGAGCACTTTATCTATCCTTCTCACTTACGTTAAACAGCATTTAGAAGTTAATGGCAATTTAGATTTAATTTTAAAATAAAAATACGAACAGTAGCGAAATTACCGCTAGTTCCAATATCATCAGTCATCATGCACCTAAAACATCTGGAAAGCTTTGATTTCCGGGGTGTTTTAAGGCAACGAAGAATCAGTTTCGATAATTTAAGGGCAGACCCTTTTTTTATCTAGTTCGTTTATTTGTAAGGCTCAATCGCGTTAGCTTTACGGAGCCCATAATTCATTGTTCTTTGTTTGTAACAAAATTCACTTAATTCTATGTCTAGTAGGAATTGGGCCGGATACTCGCGGCTTACTCGAGGTTAGAGGGGTACATTGTCGAAGGATAGGAAAAGGGGAGGAGCTTGGGAGTAGGGTATCGTAAGGGCAGATCCTTGAATATAATAAACTTTTGAGAACTTAAGTGAACTTCGAGTAAATTCATTCTCAGAACTTCAGGAAAGTTTCATGAACATCATGTTTTCAAAAAGATATTTAGAAAACTCCAGAAAATGTTAGGGTTGTGAGAACTTTAAGGAAGCTAGGGTTTTTTTTTAATATTCAGAACTAAGTTCAGGGCCATGGTTGTTAATGACGTTATCACCAACGTCAGGTCAATGCTCCACGAAACCGGCAAGAACTTTAGAGAAGAGAACTTCAGGAAAATTGTTAAAACTTCAGGAAGTTCCTAGAATTCCAAGAAAATAGCGGAAACTTTAGAGAAGATCCATAATCATTTGGAAAATTAAGGGAATTTAAGGGATTTCCAAAGAAGTTCAGAAAAGTTTGAATGTTTTAAGGGAAGTACCGTGAGCATCAGGGTAGGTAGTAACAAAAACGTTGAAAGAAGGTCAAGGCAGTTCCGTTAATTAAATTCGAGGAAGTCCAGAGAAATTCACGGTAGTTTTGAGATCTTCAGGGAAGTTACATGAACTTCAGGGCAGCTCAGAGAACTTCAGGAAAATTCCGAGGGGTCTGTTCTTAGAACATCTGGAAAGTTCCAGGAGCTCTATGGACTCTCCCTCACTTTTTGATGTTTGACTGCATCTCGGAGAAGGCAGAGGAAACTTCCAAAAGAAATTCAGAAGACAGATACTCCCACGAGATGCAAAAAATAATTTTGGGAGAAACTTTGGGAAAAAATCGAGAGAATCTCCAGAGCAAATCCGATGAAAATTTAGGAAGAAGTTCAAAGAAAATACTACTTTCCAGGAGAAACCAGAAGAACATCTGACGAAATTACGGAGGGAATTAATTAGAATTAAAAATCATCGGAGGAACTTGGAAGAAGATTTATGGGGAAAGGAGAAATTTCTCTGGGAAATCGGAAAACAATTTCAAGAACAACCAAAACCCTTCATGTTTCGTTCAATAGAAATTAAAACAAGAACATTCTGATTAACCTATCTGGTTCCCGATTCCTAGGTAGTCAAAAAAGGGTTAAATGAAAAAAAAAACTACTCAGAATTCAACACCCTCGAAATTGCCATGGAAATCTAATCATGTCTAAAAATTCTTCTCAAAACTTATTTAGAATATTTTTAAGAAATTGATTTGCAATCCTCTTTTCAATCAACATGGAATTCCCCCCAGAGCTACCTAAAACATCTACTCTGATCTGAACTCACACAATTTACTTGGAATTCTTATCAAAACTTTCTAAATATTCAAAACTTGCTTGAAATTTTTCGCTGAAATACCTTCTTGTTATTTCTAAAATTGATTCTAAAATGTCATCAAAATTCTCTTCATAGTTCTTCAAAGTGCTCCAGTTCCAGGGTCTTGATTTTTTTTTTTTTCAAGATCCAGAATCTTATTCCCGATGTGTCATCAAAATTGACGGCGTTTTCCCGATTTACTGGTCACCCTGCAGAGTCCAATGCGGATGGAAGGATACATACTTGTCAATTTTCCATTTCCCGCACAAGAATTTTGGTTGATAAATTGTATTACGGATAGATTGTGACTACTATATCGATGATCCCCCTGCGAAGGAAAAGCTATGATTTTCCAAGAAGGGCCTCCCTTAGTAAAGGCACAGCTATAAACCTAAACTTTGCAGGAGGCGGCTGAGATCGATTCCCGGTCCGGTCTAGGAATTTGTCAGGTTGGAAATCATTTCTCGACTTCCCAGGGCATAAAGTGTGATTGTACTTGCCACACAATACCTACTAATGCAAAAATGGTACAAGCTTAGAAAGCTCTCAATTAACAACTGAGGAAATGCTCAAAGACACTAAGTTGTGAGTCGGCTTAAAGTACCAGTGGGGACGTTATGAAGCAAAAAAAAAATATATGATAGCAATATTGCTACAGTATTGATTGCTGTCATTAAAATTGGGATCGATGAGAGAAACCAAATTTAATTTAATTACAATAAAACCGGGATGGGATGGGTGTGGACGGAAAAAGAAATAATTACCGCGCCGATTTTCCCATTATCGATAAATGATTGATACTTGGATCTTCGCTCTTCCTATCGTTGATTGGTTCGTTGATGGCAAAGTTTTACGGATCGGTTTTAATTATGCTGTGACCGGGAGCTTATTCCGAAGTTGGAAGATAGATTGATTTTCAACATTTATAAACCAAAAGGCAACTGAATCCACCGATTCCGTTTTCACAGCATGGCCAGACCACCCCCTTCCAAGCGTTGATATGTGTGCAACAAACGGCGAAACGAATAACACCGACGACGACGACGATGACTTCACCAAACAACCATGAGTTTTTACAGCAGTAAATGAAATTTTACAATGTAATAAACAGTCTTGTACACTTACCTTACTGGACGAGGATCGGTTCTTGACGGCAGCCGCCGCAGTGACATGCGAGTGCGATTTGGTCTCGGTCTGCGTAGTACCCTGCACCGGGGCGACGGCATTGGTGACATGATCGGCCGGTTGCGACTCCGGAACAGTCTGCAGCAGAATTCTCATTGTGGCCGACATCGTACTGCTGCTGCTGTTGGTGTTGTTTTTGCTAATACCACTACTACCGCTGACCACTGCTACTGCTGGTATGGGTGGTACTGCCGCTATTTTGACGTCCTTCACTTTGACCTGCTATGCGGTCTATTCCTATATAGAGAATTCCTAGAACACACAAAACCCCCTTCAGTAACCTACTGCAAGGGACACAAATCACCTGAACAACAATTTAGAAATGCGGAGACGTTTCTCTTCCTGCTTCCGCTTTGCTCACTTTGCTTTGCTTCCGGTGAGGATTTTTCCTTCGCAATTCAAGCACAAACACACCCGCAGGTCACGGCTTCGTGGCACGGAAATCACTTGCTTGGTTTGTTGGCCCCTTTTGCTCTCACTCACTCACTGGATGAGGTCACACTACACGTCTGATCTCAATCGCACTTTCCCCACAGAGGAACTCCTCCTTAAATACGGGCAATTTCAACACACGATTTGGTGTTCAAGTTTTGATCGATACACCAGCTTGGAGTCACTTCTACTTGACGGTTGCATTTCCGGAGTATTTTGTTTGTTTGTCTTGAAGGAGTTCCGTCGTTCGAGGAGTAGGATTCAATCAAGGCTCTTCTCGCGCTGGCGTCACACTCAATCGAGGAGGCAGGTGAGTGTTATTCACGCTGTCGGGAGTATTCATTCGCAAGGGCTGGACTGCTGCTGCTGCTGCTGCCGGGATTTGTTGAGTTGGTTTATAAGTCTGTAATGAAACGGGTGGAAAAGAGTAGATATTGGTATTAGTGTTCGAGGATGAAGCACGAGGACGGGATGATTGGTAGGGTTGGGAAATCAACGAAACCCAGTTGAAAGGTAGGTTTATGTGCGTTGATGGTGATTGACTTATGATTGTAAATATGACTTATAACTAAAATCAGCGGTTTTCCAACTTTAGTTGATTGTGGTCAACTGTGGTAAACTCGCAACCTACCATGATTATTAGGCCTAGACTTTTATAACTCCAAAAAACGTACAGGACGCATCATGAACGGATATTCCCAACATACCCATAAACCTGATGGTGAGATCTGACCCTTCTTGTTTAATTAAATTCCGACTAAATTACCTCAAGTCCGCATGCAGGGAAGAGCAGTAAAGTAATTTCTGAATTATATGTGTGTCTATGTCTGAATTTCAATGCGATAGAGTTGGAACATGCCCGGGTGTTACCAATGCAAGATTTCGGCGCTCTAAATGGCCGCTAATGATCATATACCGTATGCGTGATAATGTTTGCACCATTGAGCATTGTCAAAATTAAAAAAAAATATCAAAAATTTCGTTTTCGAGTTTTTTTTTATTTATTCAAAGGGGGGATGTTTCTCAGAGTCTTAAACTATGTTAATCATCGATCGAGTTTCCACTTGCTGCAATTACGGCCTCCACACGCTTCCGGAACGCACGGCAGGTTCTAATAATGTAGTCTGGATCCATTTCTCTCCAGGTACGGATAAATGTTTGTTTGAGGCTTGCTCTACTCGGGTGGCGTTTAGAACAGGCCTTAGCCTTCATGACGCGCCATATTGAGTAATCCAGCGGATTAAGCTCGGGACTGGATGACGGCCACATATCCTTCGCCCAGAACGGAAGATGTTCCTGCAACCACTTCTGAGTGCGGTTCGAGGTGAAAAAGGGAGCCCCATCTTGTTGAAATACAACATTTGGCTTCGGACCGTACTGTTCTTTGATCCACGGAAGAACATACTCACTTAAAATCCCGATGTAGACCTCCGTGTTGACCTTGTCGCCTTTTGGAATGAACACCGGGTCCATTTTTTTGCCATCGCCAATCCATACACCATAATGCTAGCAGATACACGTTCTTGTGCTCGTCGACCACGTCTTTTACCGGAAGGGAACTAATATACCGGTCGGTTCTGGAATTTGATACGGGATCGACGGTAAACATGCTCTCGTCGGTGAACAGGATTACCGGATTTTTCCGCTTAAGGAAGTTCAAGATTTTCTTGCATCGTTCAACTCGTAGCTCCCGGATGCGGTTGGTAATCATGTGAGTTTTTTTTCCGTGCCCTCGACTTCGCCCCGCAATCTTCCTTTACGATCTTCCGTGCCGTAAAGTCACTGATCCCGTGTTCCTTTGCCATTTTCCTTATTGAACGCACTGGATTCACACGAATCTTCCTTTTGATAGCAGCGATAACCCTCGGAACCCGAGCTGACCTCGGACGACCTGTGGCCACCTTCGCAGGTAGTTGTCCTTTCTTTTCTCGGTCTAAAACCCTTTTGACGGTCCACCGGGGCACTCGCACGGCGATTCAAATGTCTTTTTGCGACATTTGCGCGTGGGACAAATCACAAATCTGGATCAACAATAGAAAAGGGCCCATCAGCATTTGTAAACAAACCGTTCCAAAGCCCATTCCTCACAAATCGAAGGCTGCTCACACAAACCAACACCATCATCATCGTGTAGGTAGAAGTTTCCCCTATCCGATGATGGTGTTGGTTTGTGTGAGTGACCTTCGCTTTGTGAGGAAAGGGCTTTGGAACGGTTTGTTTACAAATGCTGATGGGCCCTTTTCTATTGTTGATCCAGAAATACGCTGCCACTTCGTCATGGTGCAACTGTCAAACTAAGTAAATCATTTTCTTTTATACACAGCCTACTACGGTATGAGCTATAGGTTACGTGCATGCAAAGAAAACCAAGGTATTGTATGCACAGGTGAAACGGGAACCTTATTTGTACGATGGTGCAATCTTATATCACGCATACGGTAGAGCAGTTCCACGCCTAATGAAGCATCGATCAGACTCGAGCTTCTTCGATTTGCATGAAACTTTCCATAAATGTTTGCTATGGGCAATCATTAACATTTCTCGATGAACATTTCAAATGGTCCTACTGCTTTGATCGATTCTCTCCATCGATTTTCTCTTTTCATAACCACTGCTATGCGAACAGATTTCGCGCTAATTCTACCACATAGTTTGATAAAGGAGATTCTATGCTTGTGATGATGCTTGCGTGGTGGTACTTGAACTCGTAATCCTTACTGCATTTTCTGCTGTGATCGAATTTGTCGTTCCTTCATGAAACACTCGTTTGGCATCGTTGAACCTAGAGAAAGGAATGACTCACGCGTATTATTTTATGCTCATTTTACTTTCATCAGGACTTGCACTCGTACTCCATATGTACTCAAATAGGTCAATTAATATTGGAATTAATTAACAACTTTTTTCTTCGTTTTTCAATGAACCGTCTGTGAAAGCTTGAAATTGTAAACAAACGATCTCAAAAGTCAAAACTGCAGGGTTGCCAAACTGATGGGATACTGAGATTGAAAACTTGATTGTCATACTTCGGCACGTTCGGCACAACGCTTGGCACAGATTGAGATGTGCAGAGTTGAACACCCCTTACTTACCTTACCAATCAGGCTAAGGCCTTGTTGTCCTCTGCTGTCCGAAGAAGTCGTCTCCACTCTACTCGATTCATGGCCACAGTTCGCCAGCCTCGTAGTCTGCGAAGGGTCCACAGGCCACCTTCTACTTGGTCGATCCACCTTGCCCGCTGCGCGCCTCTTCTTCTTGTTCCTGTTGGGTCGCTTTCTAGAACCATTTCTCCCAGCAGCTGGTGCAATTCGTGGTTCATTCGCCTCCTCCACGTTCCGTCATCCATCTGCACTCCACCGTAGATGGTACGCAACACCTTCCGTTCAAAAACACCAAGGGCGCGTTGGTCCTCCACGAGCATAGTCCAGGTCTCGTGGCCGTAAAGGACCACCGGTCTAATCAGCGTCTTGTAGACAGTCAACTTCGTGCGGCGGCGAATTTTATTCGACCGGAGCGTCCTCCGAAGTCCAAAGTAGGCACGATTCCCTGCCATAATGCGTCTTTGAATTTCTCTGCTGGTATCATTTTCGGCGGTCACCAGTGAGCCCAAATACACGAACTCATCGACCACCTCGATTTCGTCACCGTCAATCTGAACTCGGGGTGGGAGGCTAACATTGCCTTCCCTAGAACCTCTTCCTTTCATGTATTTTGTCTTTGATGCGTTGATGGCAAGTCCAATCCGTCTAGCTTCAGCCTTCAGTCTAATGTACGTTTCTGCCATCATCTCAAAGTTCCGTGCCATAATGTCAATGTCATCGGCGAAGCCAAGGAGCTGGATGGACTTCCTGAATATCGTGCCACTCGTGTCTACCCCAGCTCTTCTGATCACACCTTCTAACGCGATGTTGAACAGCAGACACGAAAGTCCATCACCCTGCAGTAACCCCCTTCGAGATTCAAAGGGACTCGAGAGTGTCCCCGATACTCGAACAACGCACATCACTCGATCCATCGTCGCCTTGACTAATCGCGTCAGTTTATCCGGAAGTCCGTACTCGTACATAATCTGCCATAGCTGATCTCGATCGATTGTGTCGTATGCGGATTTGAAATCGATGAACAAATGATGTGTGGGCACGTTGTATTCGCGGCATTTCTGCAGAACCTGCCGAATCGCGAAAATTTGGTCCGTGGTAGCGCGGGCACCCATGAATCCCGCCTGGTATTGCCCCACGAACTCTCTTGCATATGGTGACAGACGGCGACATAGAATTTGGGAGAGTACCTTGTAGGCGGCGCTCAGCAGTGTGATCGCACGGTAGTTGCAGCAATCAAACTTGTCGCCCTTTTTGTAGATTGGGCATACAACACCTTCCATCCACTCCTCCGGTAATATCTCCTCCTCCCAAATCTTGGCAATTACCCAGTGCAGCGCTCTAGCCAGTGCTTCACCACCGTATTTTAATAGCTCACTTGGTAGTTGTTCTACACCAGTTGCTTTGTTGTTCTTCAGCCGACCGATCTCCTCCTCAACTTCTTGAAGATCAGGGGCCGGTAGCCTGTCGTCTTCTGCGCGTGCTCCAAGGTCTGTTGCCGTGCTATCTTCGTTTTCAACTGCTTCACCGTTGAGGTGCTCGTCATAGTACTGCTTCCACCTCTCAATCACCTCACACTCGTTCGTGAGAAGGTTACCGTCCAAGTCCTTGCACATATCGGCTTGCGGCACGTAGCCTTTGCGCGAACTATTTAGCTTCTCGTAGAACTTCCGTGTGTCGTTTACACGGTACAGATTTTCCATCGCCTCGCGATCTCGGTCTTCCTGCTGACGCTTCTTCGGAAAACCGAGTTTTGTCTGTTCCGCGCTTGTCTGTATCGCTCCACATTCAATCTCGTGCGGTGTTGCAGCATTCTCGCCCGTGCTGCATTCTTCTCCTCTACTAACAGTTTGCATTCGCCGTCAAACCAGTCATTTCTTCGGTCCGGGGTTGCAGTACCTAGTGCCGCTGCAGCATTACTACCTATGGCTGAACGGATGTCCCTCCAGCCATCTTCAAGAGAAGCTGCGCCAAGCTGCTCTTCCGTGGGTAGTGCAACTTCGAGCTGCTGCGCGTAGTCCTGGGCAACTCCGGCGTCCCGTAGTTGCTCAATGTTGGGTCGCGGCGTTCGACTTCGACGGGTGTTAGGAACCGTCGAGAGTTTTGAGCGCATGCATACTGCAACTAGGTAGTGGTCCGAATTTATGTTCGCGATGCGGTACGTGCGGACGTTGATAATGTCGGAGAAGAATTTCCCGTCGATTAGAACGTGATCGATTTGGTTTTCTGTGTGTTGGTCAGGTGATCTCCAGGTGGCTTTGTGGATATCCTTGTGGGGGGAAAAGGTACTTCGAACTACCATACC